GCAACATTGCTTTACAAAAGCTGATACCATTATGCAGTGTGGCTAACAACAAGATAACCTTGGCTAGGCTATAAGGCTATTAAACGATAGTATTTGTTAGCAAAATGGCTAATGTTTTAAAGAATTAACACCAGAAACAGTACATAGCGTTACCCAGAGCCCTATAGTAGTCTACTATAGTAGTAGTATAATAATAATAATAGTAGTTATACTATAGGGCTCTGGCGTTACCTAGCTTTTGACAGCTAATGTTAGCGTAACCCGGAGCATAAGCTAGCTGGTTAGTACCGGTTACCTTCTTACCTTCATAGTTGTGTATATATGACGCAGCATATAATTTGAAGACTTTATCGAGTTTGCTGGCTGGGGTTTTAGTCGTCCGGCAAATCCGATGAACATCTGACATTTTTAATTTCGGAAGCTCTTGTAGGCAGCGGGTGTAGAAGGTCGTCATTTTCAAACAGGAAATGAATCGGCCGCTATGAGTAGAATGCGGAAGTGACTGTGCATGTAGCCTATTACTTTTGAAAGGTGATGACAGATGATGGACTTTTTTTATGTTGAAGATATTTTTAATTGAATCTAAATTACATTTGTGATTGACAATCTTTGTTGTGATACTTTTATGAGCATAAACATTTATGTCATCAACATTTGGTTGAAAACAAAATAGGCCACCACAAACGTGAGCAAAAAATGGAAAAATAAAATGTATTTCCCATGAAGGCTAAAAATTGTGTATTATTTCAGTTAACAAACTTTGCCATCTAATTTAAATTGAAACATATTTTAAAATAAATTGTACAGTACATTTTGCCCTGGTAATCTACTGGAAATCCACCCCTCTGGTGGGATCAGGATAATCCAGTTTTTTGGGATCAAACTGATCCCAATCCTGTGTTGTCGGTTTGAACTACCCGTTTTGAAGATTTGATCCAGATTAAAGCTTGGATTGGATTTCCTGATCTGATCGGATATCAAAGTGATCCTAATCCTGTTTTTTGGTTTTGAACTCCCCAAAATCCAAATCTGATTTGATCAGATAGGGATTCAAAGTTGTTGAACTCCTGGGCCCAGACGATGTATTTCAATGTAATTCTATTGATTTTGGTGATCCCCTGACACTTCAGTTACAGGATGGGTTGCTGTGACTTTTGCTACATACATTCAGTGAATTGTTATCACTTTGATTCCCTGGAGTTGCACATATACCCAAATGATCTAATCACATGTTTAGTTAGTGCTGATCAGTGAATGTAAGCATGCTATCACACAAAACTAAGATGGTGAACATGGTAAACATTACTATCTTAACATCAGCATGTTTTATTATCATTGTGAGCATGTTAGCAACATGTATCTCAAATAGCTGTAGCAGAAGCATAGCTGTAGGCTCTTATTTTTCTTGAAATCCTGTTCAAATTCCAGCAAGGTGATTGTTAATCGGTCTATTTATTCAGTAAAGATAGCCACTCATACCAAGACCATCCAGTTAGACTGTGTCTTTAAGCTGTTTGTCAAGGTCATTGTGGCTGAATGTGTTAAAAACTGTGTTTTTGTCACCTTTGCTGTGAATCCTCATCTGTACAGCCTCGTAGTTGCTCGATACTGTGGCTTTTACAGTTTGGCCTGGCATTGTACCAGATCAGTCTTCTGTAAACCGAGGGATTTGGTTTTAGTCTCATGTTTTTTTTGTCTACAGTGACAGTTTCAGGTGAAACACAGATCAGACAGCGTTTGGACGTTTAATTAACATGAATATTAATTAATTAATAATTATCTTGTTGTCAGAGACATATAGTCTTCTTGTATCACCATAGTGTTTTATCAACCTGTCCTGTCCTTTTAATTTCACTCCTGCGATGTTCCCCCGTTGTCATCCTTTTCCCAAACAAATCCCTTATCCCCTTCACCTCCTGTATTCCATGTTCTGCACTCTCTTTTTGCCTGAGCCCCCTCCCGTTGCTCTTTATTCCATCCCGTCCGTCTACTCACAGCGTCCTCCGAGAGAGCAATTAACCTGATCAAAACTTCCAAGTGCTGAGATCAAACATATCCCAGCACGGGAGGGCGGTAAAAGAATCACACAGAGGGATGAGACACTGGGAAATGTGAGGAGAGGCAAAACAGAGAGTTTTAAGGTGGAAAAACCATCGAGGGGGACCTTAAGGTGGCCATTGGAGTGAAAGTGTGTGTGGAAACAGCTGAGTAAGTCATTGCTCGTCTCCTGCACGCACCTCACACCCTGCTCATCTGACTCGGCTGCATGCCGGCTGCTGCAATCTCATCTCAGCCCCTCTTGCCTGTGAGGGATTAAACTCTTAATCCGCTAGATTGAGGCTCGCTATTAGTAGCAACAGGGCTGCGGCTATCTTTGTGTGTTTTTTTGTGTGTGCTGGTTTCCGGAGTGTGTACCTTTATACCTGCAGCTGCCATCTCACACACACACACACACACACACACACACACACACACACACACACACACACACACACACACACACACACATACACACATACACACATACACACACACACACACACACACGTGTGTGTGAGATGGCAGCTGCAGGTATGGGTGTGTGAGAGATTAATACAAAACAATGAGGCAGGGAAACAGAGAGAGTGCTGGGGGTGGTGCTACACATAAACCAGTTAGCCGGTTCAATGTTGGAGGAGCGGGATGTTCCCTATCTGCCACCTGTGCAAAATCCAGATTGAAGAAAATAACTGTCTTTGTGTGAGTGTTTCTTTCTTTCTGCCTGTGGGTAAATTTGTTTTAAAGTGTAGGAAAATGACAGACAGAATCAAAAAGGTGTATGTCATTACTGTCTCAGTGAGGGGGATTAATGGGCTCCTAAATCCCCTTTGTCAAAAGCAAAAAAAAACTAAGAGCCCAGCGTGTGTGATCTGTCTCACATTGCATACACTAACTAGCCCAGGGCATATGCTGCACATAGGTTAATGAATAGTGATGGAGGGATTCAATAACTCTATCACACACACACACACACACACACACACACACACACACACACACACACACACACACACACACACACACACACACACACACACACACACACACACACACACACACACACACACACACACACACACAGAGACCCCCACCTCTTCAGTTTCCATCTCTACCCTCACTAATGTGTTGTCTGCTCCGTTAGCAGCCATAAGGGCCTGGACAAAGTGTTTGCTTGTTTTAGCGGTTCCCTCAGGCGCATGGAACCTAATGAGCTGCCTCTCAAGAACAAAGTGTGTGTGAGTGTGTGTGTGTGTGTGAGGCCAGCAACGTAGACAAATCTGCAAGCATATTGATAAGTTATTCTCAACTGTTAGCTATTTTTTGTATTCAGGGTCAGCCTTGCAGAGGTTGGCATGATATAGAGCAGGTGCTGATCTGGAACTGACTGTGTTTTTCAAAGTCAGCATTGTACACTGAGGTCTATTGACTTGAGGCACAGCCAAAAGTTTGACCAGCTGTTCAGTGTCACTTTGATATATCACTGCCCTGATGATTCTGTGTGGACAGAGATCTGTGCATCTGTGATCCAACACTGTATCTGTGGCAGCTTATATTTCTGTGCCATTGGGCGCAGCAAATATGACACAAGACAGTATGTTGCAACTGTACATACATGAATTTTCACATACTACATTTACAGAAGCTAGAGATGATTTAGTAGCATAAAGTAAAGGTATTATATTTACTTTGGAAAATGTCCAGACAAAGAATACAATGAAAAGAACTGCTGGAAGTAGATGTTTTATTCTGACTAAGGACATTAATATGGTGGCTGACCATTGCAAATGTGCAACAATGGCCCAAAACATATATTGGAAGTAATCATAAGCCAATTTTAGGTCAGTTTCCAGTGACAGTTGGCCAACTTCATAATCCCCGAACGTCGACAAGCGCTCTGGTGCCAGCGGTGTGCATCACTTTTTAGTGTGCCCGTTTCCGTTGTGTTTTGAGCTTCTTGCAGCGTTTTGTTTATACAGCACTTTTAGTATATCCCAGCGCATGTATCAGCAAGTTGGTGAATGTTTTCTAAATGCTGCACATCTCTCGTCTCTTCATTTGCATGTTTTTGCACATTTGTGTTTTTATATTTGCATCGTTTTTAATAGTGCAGTGTGTTTAATGGAATTGTTTTGGGTTGTTGTAACACATGTGCCCCTGTCATCCAATGTATATTGTCTCCTCAGATAAGATAAAATAAGCCTTTACTGATTCACAGAGAGGAAATGCAGGTGTTGCAACAACAAATAAAGACAAGTAAAAACTTAAAAAGTATAATCACAAATGAAACACAAAGAAAACAAGAGCAAGTCAACCCCATAATTGAAAGGGAGTTAATACATAGGACAGAACACATCTCATAGAGAATAACCAACTCAGTTTACAAAATCCATTTATTTTAGTACTGTGCAAGTCCCAGGGAAAATGACAATGTGGACACTTTATTACTGCATACTTTTTTCAGACTAAAATATTAGAATTAAGTTTAAGAGTTATACAACGAGACATTAACTGACATGGTGTTTTTAGACATGTTTCCACTATTTATTTATATTTCTACTTTCAATTGTAACGCTGTAATGCCCAAGTGTATATGTAACACTTGCTTGTACGTAATGGGGAGGTAACCGCGCCCCCTGATCAGGGCAGGAAACATGGTTGAGAGCATCTCCTCAGTGTCCTTGAATTTCAGATTTTCTAAAAGGAAAGGAGAGAAATCGAGTGCACGCTCTCTGCCCATTTTTGGTAAAATGCCACCTTTGTCTAATCTGGAGCTCAGACACTCACATAGGCTACTCCTGGTCATTTGTGTCACCTTTACGCAAACTTGAACTCTCCTGTGTTGTGCCCCGCGGCTCCGGCTCCCCCCTCCCCTGCTGCTCCCCCTCCTCCTCCTCCTCCTCCTCCTCCTCCTCCTCCTCCTCCTGCAGCGCCACTAACCGAGCTGTAACGGGACACTTTTCAGCGCACCAGACCTGTACCCGCTTCCATCTCTGGTATGTTCAGACTCCGTGCGCACCCTGCACCGGCTCGGATAATGGGGAAGCCGGAGAGGTATAGCTGTTATTATTACAACATGTGGCGGTTGGGAATGATCGCGGACACCCTGATTTAGTGTTGAATGATCGGAGGGGACTGCAAGGCGGCACAGGGATTTCACAGCGAGCTGATTTGGCCGTTATGAGGGACGTGTGCCGGGCTCAGGATGGTAAGATGCACTTCATAAGTTACTGGGGGTTTGAAGGTATTTGTCTGAAGTTGTAATGTTGTCCCACTACTTAAAATAAGGAATGCTGTTTTCTTTTCATCTCCACAAATACAGTAGAATAATAAAGATACAGATAGACATTTGATTTAGCAAAATGAGAAAGCAATAATGGTAATAGGAAGGGGTTTAATGATGCCCTTTAATAACATGTGACTACTGTCCCATTTTATGTTTTCTATTCACTTCATCATAAACACAATTAGTTCATGAAAAGCACATTCATTGCCCATTATTAACCAATCGTATTAAGGTCCAAGCTTGATAATGGAAAATAGTCCCTGTGTGTGTGTGTGCGCGCGTGCGTGTGCATGGGTGTGTGTGTGTGCGTGTGCGTGTGCATGTATGCGTGTGTGTGTGTGAGAGTTGAGAGAGAGAGGGAGACGGAGAATCCATAAGAGACGATGCTCTCTAGCTTCTGACAAATGCAGTTTGCCTATGAATATAACATAAGCTCTCAGACTGAATGCATGATTCAATCACAAACTAAATATGTACATAGAAACATAAATACATGTAGGAAAGATAATTGATTTGATATTTGTATTTGCCCATACAAAACTTAAAATGTGATTTTATTTGAGATTCCAATCAAATTAATATAAACTGCTGAGGGGGCAATTTGCAGAGGACAGTATAATATAACAAAAACATATTAAAAAAGCAAAGAAGCAAAGTTTAGTTCCATACTATTTTGACTGGTTCTTCTGTATACTCAACTGTAAATGAAAAGTGGGCTGGATGCTTTTGGAAAAAGTGGAAAAAGCAGGATGGCGATCAACAATGAAGATGGGTATTTAAAGAACCTTTATTTTAGTGGTTAAATCATTAACAAGTCAACATCTTTCAACCACTCTTCTCTGTCAGGACTAACTGAGTACTTTTTAAATGTATATATGTTCGAAGTAAATGAATCTTGCAAAACGTTCCACCTTCACATGTTATAACAACTCCAATTATAAAATAAAAAAGCAAGTTTACTCTCCACTTCCTCTGTTATCCTCGCTTCACAGTCTATTACTTGTGTCCAGCGGAGAACAGGGGGAGGTATAGCAAAGCTGATAACTCAATTAAATGTCCCACCGCGAAAAAACGGCCACATTTACAGGGAATACAAATCGATTAATACATTCTTTATCATGCTCTCTCCTCCACCCGGTGAGATGGAAATTAAGCACAGCTCTTGTGACAAAGGTGATTTATTGGTTCCTCCAGTACAGGATCCTATTCTCCTGGATCTGAATAAGTGAAGCCTGTTGGTGCGGCCCAATGCTTCAAACTGTCGCTGCTGTCCAATCACACATTCAATAAGCCTGTGGGTACAACTGTAAATAGTCAATGAGCAGAATAATCGCAATACTGATGATAATATTCCTGCTCTATATAAGCTGTTGTGAACAGAATATGTAGTGCTACTGTACTTATGACACGCACAGGCCTGTTAGACTCTGTATTCGTCTTACAGGACACCTTCAGGGCTGTGAGTCACAGCTGGCAGTGACAGATGAGTGTTGTATGGGTGCCTGCCAGTGGTGGAATGTAACTTTACATTATATTCAAATACTCTACTTAGGTTCAATTGAGATGTGCTATGACTTTACTTGAGCATTTTATATGTTATACAACTTTTTACCACTATTCCACTACATCTTAAAGATTAATATTGTCCTTTTTACTCAACACCATTGATCTTAATCAATTGATCAATAAAATGCTGTTTATTTAGGCCACTATTACAAATTACACATTTGTTCGGAGGGGCTTTACAAAGTGTACATATGTCACCCCCTGTCCTTAGATCCTTGCAGTGGACCAGGCAAAACTTTTAGAGAAACCTATCAATTACTTAGGAAAAAATGGAACATCGACATCGACAATTCAAATGAAAAAAAAATAAAATGTGAATGTTATATTTATATTTACTTATTTAAAACTCAGGGCATTATGCGCTAGATGCTGAGTTAGTACAATTATTTTATGGAAAATAAGTGCTTATAAGAGCCGAGGTTTTGTAAAAGTACTCTGATTTTGTACTTCAGAAAAACTAAGTATCAAAGTCTAGGAATACTCTGTTACAAGTAAAAGTCCTGCATTCAAAATGTGACTAAAGTAAAAGTACAAAAGTATTAGCATCAAAATGTACTTAAAGTGGACCTATCATGCTATATTTGAATAATATATTGTAGGGCCATACCTATATAAAATATATCTGTGAAGTTTTTTTTTTTCAAAATACCAAACAGATCATGCATTTTAGCCATGCCTCATTTTGCTCTTTCCAGCCCTGTTTTTGCAAGGGCTGATTCTGTGGCAAATGAGCTGCAGCTGATCTCGCCCCCCTGCAAAGGAGGCACGAGCGTCATGTTACCATGCTGTTACCATGCCACACAACCTCTCATTCCCCTGATAGGTGGAGAGTTGCCCATATAGGCGGAGCTCCTTGTTTCTGACTTCAGAGATATTTCAAATCTGTATCAGTCTGTATCAGCTCTGTTGCAGCCCCGTTTTTAGAGATTTGGGCAGTGCTGGAATTGGGCCGGTACTCACCGGTACGCAGTACCGGCACTTCTGGTTCTGACCCATGGAGTACCGGCACTTCTTGCTCAGTACCGGCATGCTGGCGGTACTCCGGTACTCATGCACCGTGCCAGTACTCAACACTCTCCCGCCGTTCTTATTATACATCCATATATATATATACAGCCGCCCGGTACTCAGTAGATGCGTCATGAGGTGCCGAACGGACATTCTCATCGCTCTAACCGCTGGAGTTTCACAGCGGCTGTCAGCTGTTTACTCCTGTCATTCAAACAGAACGTGCTGGAGAGGGGGCGGGGCTTATCTTCTCCATGTATATACTGTGGTGGAAACGACTATGTCAAAATTAACCTATTTGACCGTGATTTAATAGTAATACACGTTTCAAAATAATAATAATAATAATAATAATAATGCCGAAGTAACAACATACTAAAAACTGTTAGTAAAACCATGTTTTAATGCTTTACAATTTACATACCTAGATGCACGTGTGTTGTGTTTATGCAGTGCAACTCCCACCCAGTGGGTGGCTATGTAGAGTGATAGAACAGAGCAGGCACGCCCCCGAGAGAAGGAAAGCAAGTCACGTCACAAATTAGCATTTCTAAAATGTTAGCGTGGATTAATAAAAGTGCAAAAAGACAGCGGTTGTCGCCGGAAGAAACTTCAAATACAGAGAATGCTGTGCCTGTGTTGGAAATTGTGTCTGATGGGGAGCTTTCTTTGGTTGATCCTCCTGCTCCAAGTTCTAGTGCATTAGCATTAGCACTAGCTCCGCCGCCTCCTCCAGAGCCTCTAACGTTAGCTGCTGCTGGCTCAACTGCCACCACCAACACCGGGCAAAGCGATGCACCTGACTGCTGGACAACGGACCAGGTGCAATATTTTTGCAAGACCAATGCATGGCTCCTTCTTAAAGATAAGAAGCTAGGATGTCGGATATGCAGAGATGTCAAATCTTTGGGAATACACACTGGACAAGGACTGAAACTGTCAACTGAATGGGGTGAGTGTGCAGTGTCTCATTTCGGTGTTGACAAGGGCAAACAACAAGCTAGCCTGAGAAAAAAAATCAACATAAAGAATCACAAGCCCATGTAAAAGCTGCTGACATCCTTACATCTGCTTCATGTGAAACTATTCAACATCAAGTGCAGTCTATGCATAAATCTGAATTAGACACCACTATCAGAGTTTTTCGAACGGCATATAAAATTGGCAAACATAGCCGGCCATTCACAGACATGCCAATTGATTTGAATGTACAGAAATAGAATGGGCTGAACGTGGGCAGGGTTTTGCACTCCAATAAAACCTGTGGCGAAATCATCGACCACATAGCTCATGAGCTGAAGAAAAAGATGGCAAAAGACATTACAGAAAACCAAAGAAAACTCTGTGTTTTGGTCGATGAATCTACCACTATTAGTGGTAAAACGGTGCTTGTTGTGTGTCTACGCTCAGCATTAGCTGATGCTGAGCCCGAAACGTTTTTTTGGGAGCTGATCGAGTTGGATGGAACAACGGCTGATGACATCGAGGACTTTTTAGGTCAGTGTTTCGTTTCTTTTGCATGTGATGGGGCTTCAGTCATGCTAGGGAAGAGAACAGGCGTTGCTACCCAGTTGTGTAGTAAATTCCCAAGCCTGTTTGTGTGGCACTGCTCCAATCATCGTCTAGAGCTGGCAGTTGGGGATGTGGTCAAGGAGGTCTCAGGGCTCAATCATTTCCAGATCTTTTTTGACAAACTCTATTCCTTGTTCCATGCCTCCCCCAAAAATCAGAGGCAGTTAGCGCAGTGTGCGCAAGCAGTCGGACAGCGTCTCCTGGTGATAGGGCGTGTTTTGTCCATCCGCTGGGTGGCTTCAAGTGAAAGGAGCGTCAGAGCAGTCTGGGAAAACTACAGAGTGCTTCATGATCACTTCACAAATGCTGCAAACGACACGAGCAGGGATTCCAGAGACAGAGCAAAGTACAAGGGCCTGGATGATGTGCTCACATCTGCAACGTTTGTCAGCAATCTGGGACTGATGTACGATGCGCTCACAGAGCTCAGCGACCTCTCTCGGCAACTCCAAAAAAGAGAGATGACACTGCCTACAGCAGATAGGCTCTTAACTCGAGAAATACGAGTTTTTGAATCCATGGTCACCATGCCTGGCCCACACATGACTACAGTTCATACAGCTCTAGCTGAGAAGTCCTTCAAGGGTGTTGCCCTGCGTGAGAATGGCAGGCTTGTACAGATTCATGCAGGTCAGTTTTTCCGCAGTATGGTAGAGAATCTGAGACACAGAATGACTTCCACAACCTCCTCTCATGTCAGCACAAGAGAAATCCCATTACATGGCCGGGAGGCCCGGGACAATCAGCTAATCCAGGACATGAAAGTTATCCATCCTGGAAGTTGGCCTGAAGAGGAGTTAGACGTACAGTATGGGGACGTAGAGGTGCTACGTTTGTGCGAAGTGCTGAAAGTGGACAGAAGAGAGACTGTTCAGGGCTTTCGCGAATACAAGGAAACCAGGGCATCCCGTACACCTGCTGCCATGGAGCCTCTACTGAAAGCAGTCCGAACCATCGCTGTCTCCACTAGTGAGTGTGAGCGGGCATTCAGCTGCATGAACGATATCCTTACTGCAAAAAGGAATGCTCTCTCTGTCAGCCGACTGTCCAGCCTGGTTTTCATTAAATGTAATGGACCATCACTAGGACAGTTCAATCCGGAACAGTATGTGAGGTCCTGGCTGGCAAAGGGAAGGAGCAGTGCTGATGAAAGAGCCTGTCCAGCTCCAGCCCCTGATACTGATGTCCCCAAGGCCTTCTGGAGCCTTTTCTAACAATGTGAAGTATATTGCAAAGCAGCTCACCCAGTGAGAAGACTTTTGGCATAATGTGCCGATTTGTACAGATCCTGGAGATAGAAGGACTTCAGACCAACCAGGGAGTTATCTGATCAGCTTGGTGTTCAATGTAACTCTTTACCATGGCTCAGACTTTGTTACTTGCAGTTACAGTTTCTCATTTTAGATTGTGCAAATTTTGCATTTGTTTTTACATGTTCTTTGTTCATGCTCTTTATCATTTTTCTGAGTTGGAAAGTTAAATTGCATCATAGTTTACTTTATACATATTTGTATTCTTCAGTGGTGAAATATATTGCAAAGCAGCTCAGCCATGTGAGAAGACTTTTGGCACTTTTTCGTTTTTCGTTTTCTGAGTTGGAAAGTTAGATTGCATTCAAAATGTACAGAAATACTTAATTTTGTTAAAGCTTTTTATAAAAAATGCTTCTGACCAGAGCTTTGTTTCCTTGTCATTAATGTTGAACACCACCAGAGGGGCTCTCACCTGAAAGGTCTCTGCTTCATGTGTCTTCAGCAGAAGATCTAGACTTTGATTGCTATATTTTCAGTTAATATTGACCTTACTGAGCTTTAGCCATATCCGCTGCCTATCATAAAAAATGTTAAGTACAGTGAACCTTTCTAAAATATACAGTAGTAAAGAGACAAACCCACCAGCATTATAGTAGCCAAATTCTTGTTTGTGGGCTGTATATATAAAATTGACTTGAAAAAGTTGCTGATTTTAGAGTACTGGCACCTTTTTCATTCCAATTCAAGCACTGGATTTGGGTATGGAGGAAAAGAGAGAGGGTTGTGTTTTCTGACACTTGGTGAGTTCCCTGACACACCGGGGACACATATTCATGTATAAAAGACCTACAAAAGTGCATTTTGCATGATATGTCCCCTTTAAAGTACCAAATGTAAAAGTACTCATTATGCAGATTGGCCCATTTCAGAATCATTTATATCATGTTTTTTTATTATAATTATTGATGCATCAATGCTGCAAGGTATAGCTAGTTTTAATGACTTGGTATGCTGCAGGGAAGCTTTTGAATTGACTCCAGGTGGAACTAAAGTCTTATTTAAGTTTAGATTATATTTCACATAATAAATCCATATCTGCAAAATATAGGTATTAAATCAAGTTAAAGTACACGATTTACCTCTGAATTGTAGTGGGGTAGAAGTACAAACTAGAAACAAATGGAAATACTCAAGTAAAGTACAAGTACCTCAAAATTGTACTTAAGTACAGTACTTGAGTAAATCTACTTAGTTACTTTACACCACTGACTGTCACGGTGTGTGAAGCAGGTAGGACCCAAATGCAGATTAAAGTGACACTTCCTTTATTTCAAGGTGAACAACAAAGACAAAACAGAACACTCACCGACGAACTAGTCATGACAAAAGACGAACCGACAAAGATAGACAGAAAAACCAGAACTTAAATACACACAAGACTAATCACAGAAACAAGACACAGGTGAGGAGGGAGGAGAAAACACAGGGATACCAGGTGAACACAATCGGGTAAATTAGAAACACCAGGGAAACTAACGACCGGGAACCACAGACAGATTTAAACAAGACACAACGCAGACAGAAACAGGCAAGACATGAAGTGAATACCTTTCAACATAAAACATGAAACAAGACAAGACAAAACACCATAAAGACAGATCGTGACACTGATAAAGTAGAGAGGAGAAAGGTGAGCTTCCCAACAGTCTAAGCCTATAGCAGCACACAGCATAACTAGGCATCATAACAAAGCTGAAACTATGGCTGTATTTCTTAGCTCATGAAAAGTTAAATATTAAAGTTGGGGTAGGTCCTTTTGGAGAAACCAGCTCGAGTGCGCTAGAATTTGAAAATACACAGCCGGAAAAAATCTGCCACTTCCTTACAGAGTCCCTCCTCCAACACACAGGAACGCGCACATGACCAATGAGGGCACGAGATAAGTTTGTGCACAGATGGAAGGCTGACAGGCAGGTAGGCCATCCAGTTATTTTAGCCGTGCCGGCTCAGATGATTGGTCGTGCTTTTTACAGTACTACGGCTTCCAGAGATGACTTTTTTGTATGGATTTTTTGTCAAAGCACTTCAGATATTCATTGCTATCGGGATGTTAAGAGCATTCCATGGAATATAACAAAAAGTGTATCTTGAGCCGGTTTTTCAAACTTACCTACCCCACCTTTAAGTGATATAAGGTTCTCATTGGATTTTCTGACGATACAGAAATATGAGGATTTTTTTAGAATACGATACATGGCCGTAGATTTAACTCCTCAAAAATAACTACAGCAGCAACATTCAACAAAAACAGGAATTCAGCAGTATTATTGCAAGAAAAACTCAATGACATACTTTTATATAAGTGAGGTTTTGAATGCAAGACTGTATTTTCACAGTGTGGTATTGGTACTTGGACCTCAGGTACCTGAATATGTATTTACAAACAAGTAGAAAAGTCTGTAATTGTCCTTAGAGATTCTTGTGTAGAAAATCTATCATTGCTTTTTTTTCACAAAAAAAGCTGGCAAGAGAAAATCACAGGGTAGCCACCCAAATGTTAGTCAGCTTTATCGGGAGAAGCTATATACAAGAAGAAAGGAACAATGAGTCTCTAAGGATAATTCCAGCTGTTTCAACTGGGGTCTTATTCTTTCATCCTTTGCCACCAAACCACTCAATACTAAAACAATTCTCACCCACTGCCTCACAGAGTGGCTTTTATCTCAGATGGTTGTCGAGCTGGTCGATTGTACTGCCACTCGCACAAAGTATTATATCTATAGATCAAAACACACCTCAAAAAGGTATGCATTGACATGTCATAGCAGCCCAGACACAAGTGAAATTGATAGCATCAACAATGGCTTCCTGGAATGCAGCCTGTGCTTTTTCTACTATGACCATTACAATGTCAGCTGTGGAAAAGGTCTATTGTCCTTTTTTTGTTGTTGCAGTTCTTACTTCTTTATATGCTGGCAGCTGGTATTTTTGTATGTAACTCTGCAATAGGAACATAACGAACTATGAGTTATTCACATAATAAATGACAAATACTGTGATAAGAGGACCCAGCTTGATATTAGCCACAACTATTTAAGGCTTTGATACTCAGCGGACCATTCTGGGCAACTGTAACATCTAATGATGCCAACAAGTTTCAGGGCAATTGTAGTGCCAAGAAAAATATTTTGGACCCTCTGTTGCTTGGATCTCTGCCCATTTACAGCGACCAAAACTCAGTCTGAGCGTGAATAACACCACAGACCTGAATGTTCTTTTCTGCTTAATCTTTAGACTTTTAAATACCCATACTAAATAAACCATCCATGCTGGCTGTATTGGATGTTGAGTCTAAATACCATAACTATCTGATCAAGTTGTGTGCGTACCATACTGGCCATTTATAGCAGCAGATCTGATGTGTGACTGGGATCAAGTGAAAGAGGAGGGTGGAGCCTACAGTACTGCAGTCTCATTGAGGTGTACTATTTCTTCCTCACCCTTTTTTGTCTTTGCACACATCTCTTTCCTAGTCTTTGTCACGTCTTAACCTCAGTCATTCTCATAGCTCCATTCTGACATTTCTCTTTCTCTCTCAGTAGCTGCGTGCTGCCACTACGTCTCCAGGTCCTCCCTAATCCTGCTGCAGCAACACTGAGGATCCTGCACAGTCCCAGGACACCTCATTGACTCATCCAGCTCATCCTCTGCAGCTTTCAGCCACTGATCAATCCTAACCCACTCTCTATCGGAGCTCTCCTTTTCCAGACTCTCACTACAGACCGGGATTACCCACTGATCTGATGCTGAAACGTGATACGCTGTCTATTGAAGACCTCTGATGGAAATGTCAAAACTCACCCACGTTCAAATGTGACAAAAGGATTCCTGGTACTCTTCGTTCCTCTCCTTTTCTGTGTTTTTCCTTTTTTGGTTGGAAGCCAAAGCCATATCGTATATGTCATTGGAGAACATCTTGTTATGAAGGGCTCTGAGGCTAAAAGGACTGAAAGATACAGAAATGTTTATGATCTGCTCGTCTACAATAGACCTGGGCTGTGGCAGGATCTCTTTTCTCTTGTGCAAGCTTTGACGTGAGCTGTTGGAGGTTGTGATTAAGGAAAGGACTGCTGTTTCCTGAGGCCAGAAAGTTGGCCTGGATCAATCTGTAGACTCGTTCTGCCGTCGTTACCTGGTCTGAGCTGCCCAGTCCGGAGCAGCGAGCTTTCCAGATGCTGCAATGCCCATCATCAGCAACGCCAACCATGACTTCAGTAATCTGTCCCTCAGTGATGACAGCAGTTTTGACCGGATCTTCACAGAGATCCCCGAGACTGAGACCATCAAGGTATGAGTACGACTTTTACTACAATCAAATATTTAAAAAAATTGAAGAATTGTTTCAAATAAGTTGTCAAAATGTCACCTTTTCATTGTCCACTCTCCAGGGTGTGTACTACCAGAGGGCTCAATTAATCCGTCGGCCGGAGGACCTGGTGTCCATCGACCACGCCCTGTTGGCGGTGATCAACGTAGGGGGACACCGCTACACCTTCCCCTGGACCACCCTGGAGCAGTTCCCCCTCACACGCCTTGGACGCCTCTGTGGCTGCCGGTCTCCTGAGGACATCGCCAGCATCTGCGACGACTATGACGAAGCCTGCAAGGAGTTCTTCTTCGATCGCTCGCCATCTGCCTTCAGGGTCATCCTCAACTTCCTGGCTGCGGGTAAATTGCGCATTCTGCGGGAGATGTGCGTCCTCTCCCTGCACGATGAGCTCACCTACTGGGGGGTGGAATTGACGTACATGGAGCGCTGCTGCAAGAGGAAGATGTACACGCGCATTGAGGAGATGAACGAGCTGGAGCGCCACGAGGAGGAGTGCAGGCAGAGGAACGCCATGCAGCGTATACCGGTGGAAGAGACCAGATACCGGAAGGTGATGAACTGGCTGAGAGATATGGTGGAGAATCCGCAGTCTGGCATACCAGGAAAGATCTTTGCCTGCCTGTCGGTCATCATGGTCGCAGTGACGGTCATCAGCTTGTGTATCAGCACCATGCCGGACCTCAGAGAGGAGGAGGAAAGGGTGAGTGAAATAGTGTTTTAATGTTCTGAAAGGAGCACAGGGCTCTGAACCAAAGTCAAACAGATACTAAAAATGTAATTATAATCCTTAAACTGTAATAGGGCCTATAAATATAGGTTTCTTTACTGGGATGCCTACAGCGACTGTCAGCGAGATTTATCATGAGTGGTGTGACGGATTACAGCTGTCAATTCTTACAGTTCTCCCTTGCTCAAAGACAAAGTCACCATTAAGCAACAGAGGTGCTCATAACTTAACATGACAAACTGGATGCTCATCATCTCCAACACTAACTTTGTTTCCTGGAAATTAACATTGAATCGTATCACCCTTAGGTGTTTGTTATGAGTTAGACAAAAAACAAATGTGCGAGAGTCATGTTTTATTCATTTTAGATCGTGGGAGACATTCTGATGCTGCAAAAATGTGGTCTTAAATATTCGCAAATATTAAACTCCCTGTTGTGGCACCCTCTTAAATATCCCTGTGGGATGCTGCTGTGTGTGTGTGTGTGTGTGTGTGCGTGTTGTTGTTGTGCATGTCCTTTTCTTTCTCTACCCGTAGCAGCGTGGGATAATGAAGCTAGAACTGCTCACTGAGGCCTGTCCAGTATCTGTCAGTAAACACTAGGGAATAATGAAACTGGCTTACTGTACCTCAAAGCCAGTGGCGAGCCGTCAGGGCCCGGCTAAGATATTCTACAAAATAATATTTAAAAACATTAAAAAAAAAAATATATACATTTATAAATATTTTTTTATAAATATTTTTCATTAGTTTTAACAACAAAATAACTTGATTTAATTGTATTTAAAATAACATTTCCAAATAAATAAATCCTTCGAATCTGCCTGTTCAGTTTCTGTTTGAATGTGAAGGGTTAAATGAAAGAAGCTCCTTTAGCCGTCTCTGCGAGTTACTGTGAAGACGGGAGAGCTTGGTGGTCCTGCTGTAAATTCACAGAGGGCCCGCTATAGTAACTGAACGAGAGAGTAATGTCAAATGACAGTACAATTGACCAATCATATATTTCCTCTAAATGGGTAGGTTTTGTTATCGCAGACTTTATGACAAGTTCCGCCCGCTGTGAAGCTTTTCTTGTTTCCTTAGCAACAACAACTTCCTGTCAACAGCGTAAACTCGCCTTCAAAATAAAAGCATGCCAAATTACACTTAAGACATACAACTGCAACGAAAGTAACAAACACAATGCAATATCCTTTTCAATTTCAAAGAACACAAATTGGGTTATTTACAGGTGTTGTTGTGTGTGGTAGAGGGTGGCTTTCATTGATGCGTTTTGCACCCCGGGCCGTTGTTTTTATATTCCACTGAAGTATATGCTGTGACGTAATAACTATAATAATTTTTCGAGGGAAGGGGGGTGGGGGTCAGAGGGCCTAGGTATAAAAGTCACGGCTCGCCACTGCTCAAACCAAAAACTTGCGCACACACACAATTGTACAAATCAGTCAGACGCACTCACACTAGCAATACATTGCACACACATAGAAGCACTGGCAGTCACATGCATACAATAGTAATGATCTCATCCACTATAACCGACATGGCTCTCTCAGAATTTTGCACACATTTACTCTGGAGTTTTATTTATCTTTTGAACTAATATCTTACTTCAGAACAAACACTTTTCATTTATGATGCGTTTCCTTATTACTTTTTCACCTGCAGGGGAACATTTTATCTTCACACAACTAAAACGTTTTCCATCTTATCGAATTGTGCCCTTGAATAATAAATAGTATGTATATGTGTTCTATGTTTGTGCTGGATGAAAACTGCACATACCTGTTCAACAGATGTTGAGAAGTCATCAGCAGCAGCGCCCCTGTATTGATTTTATTATGAGCAATCACAGTCAGCCAAAGGATATTGTGTAGGAGGGTGATGTTGGAGAGTTTAGTGAGGCTGAGGAGTGCCGGTTGCAGAATGCTTGATGAGTGGAGCTCGCTGCCAGGGGGGAGGCCAGCCATTGGTGTCAGTCAGAGGAACACAGATGGACAGGATCAGACAGAGACTCTGGTTCTGATTCATTCTGTCTGTGCAGGACTTAGATATGGACCTTTTACAGCCTTTATCATATCTCTAAGAATGGTCCTATAGTTAAAGTGGAGTCAGAAGCTCCTGTAGATGTATGTTCTGTTTGCTGTCAGCAGTGACAAGGTTCATAACAAAAGGATCAGATCTACAGCGGGAGGCAGAAAGCGCCCAGATATTCAGACAGAGACACAATACAAGTGTTGCGGGATTGCAAAGAGATTGTATTTCTTGATGGAAATGTGGCTTGTAAATCACCCAGGAACACTGTAGCAGTCATGGGACTCCTCTCACTTTTACACACACACACACACACACACACACACACACACACACACACACACACACACACACACACACACACACACACACACACACACACACACACACACACACACACACACACACACACAAATTATATTTAACCAACATATTGTTGTTGCGTGGGTCCTTGCTAGTGAACTAGTTATTATTTTTTGAATATTGCAAAGTAGCTAAATAGCTTTCCAGTAAGATGACTTCCCAATTTCTTCCCCTTTTTCCAATCTGTGATGTTCACATAATGACCTGTGGACATTTTAGTTTTGGTAACTCACTTGATGACATTCACGGAATACTACTCTATTCAAACTGTGATTTTGAGGTCATAATGCTGTTTAAAATGTTAACACATGCTAACAAACCTTTTAATCAGGAACATTAACGCCAACAATCTCCCCAGGCAGTTTCTAGCAGACGGCTTGGTGTGTGTGTGTGTGTGTGTGTGTGTGTGTGTGTGTGTGTGTGGTGTGTGTGTGTGTGTGTTGTGTGTGTGTGGTGTGTGTGTGTGTGTGTGTGTGGTGTGTGTGTGTGTGTGTGTGTGTGTGTGTGTGTGGGTGTTGTTTTTGTGTGTGTGTGTTGTGTGTGTTGTGTGTGTGTGTGTGTGTGTGTGTGTGTGTGTGTGTGTGTGTGTGTGTGTGTGTGTGTGTGTGTGTGTGTGTTGTGGTGTTTGTGTGTTGTGGTGTGATGTGTGTGTTGTGTGTGTGTGTGTGTGTGTGTGTTTGTGTGTGTGTGTGTGTGTGTGTGTGTGTGTGTGCCAGTTGTCTCCCAACCTTTCAAGGACATTGCAGGTTGTAAGGACATTTGGGGTAATTCTTGGAAATAGGATGGCAGCTCCTTCGAAAATTAAACAACTCCATCTGCTGTGTTCATGTGTTGTCTCTGCATGCTCCTGAGTGTCAGACCAGCCTTGTGTATTCGGCTCCTGAACTCCATCCACACTGTCTGGCTAGCCCAGCCATGCAGGAGCTGCAGGACTCCTATCTTCTTTAATTCACATGGCCCCTGTGTGTTTCTGTCTCTTATCGGTTTGTGCCAAAATCCCCTGGTCCACTCATCATTCATCTCCTCCTCTGCCTGCCTTGGTTAGACTTCTGAGTGTTAAAGGAAAAACCAAATAAGTGGAAGACAGAGGAAGACAACACATACTGGAAATGTCTGAGAGAGCATTAGAGATGAAGTGAAGTTAATGTTTTGGTAAGATAATTAAAAAGGGGAAATGGATGAGATGCTGGTGAAAAAAAAGGCAAGAGATAAACAGTGCTTCATTTCCCCCTCCTCCTGCTCCCCTCTGTGTATATCTTTGTAATGTGTTTCTGCCGTCCTCAGTCGATCCTTACTATCCGCAGACCCATTCTCACAGCGTTAGAATATATCCTCACAGATAAGGATGTGGTAGGAAGGGGAATGGGTGAATAGAAGGGAAAAGGGAAGGGTGGTTTGTGAGAACTGGGACAAACGAGGCCGGATGTCTTGACGGTATATGTATCTTAGCAGGTGATAAGAGGTGTGGTTGAGGCGTGGCCCTGCTCCTGAAGTTAATTGTGAGAACAAAATAAAATTGCTGTGGAAAATATTTCTGCATGGCATCAATAATATGGAATAATACTGAAGTCAGATGTATGCAACTATCCGCTGCTGTGATACCATTGACCTTGATTTCATTATTTCCATGTCTTTTCCCTTTATAGTCAAGGCTTCTTAATGTAATCCCTGTGTGTGTGTGTGTGTGTGTGTGTGTGTGTGTGTGTGTGTGTGTGTGTGTGTGTGTGTGTGTGTGTGTGTGTGTGTGTGTGTGTGTGTGCACTCTAAAAACGAATTCAGGCGACCTTTCACCTCCACTTAATTAAATGCATGATAGTTGCAAGATAAAAATGTGAGTTAATTGATTTAGATAAACATTTTAAGTTGCAAACATTAATTTATAAGTTGTGTTGACGTAATAATGTTGGTAATTACATCAACTTAATATTGTGTGTAATTTGAACTCTGATTTCTGCGTTAATTGACTTCAAACAAAATTCAAGTTGTAGTAAGTAATGCAATTGGCTTGATAACTTCATTGTTCTACACCTTGAGTTAAGGATTTCAAGTCCACTCCCACTTAACATGCCTGGACAAGTTCCCACAGTTAAGACAAATAGAAATATACAAAGGACATTTTAAGGTGAGTGTCATCTGTTGTCATTCAAATACAGTAGACAGCCTTGTAGTTGCACTGTATAGGCAAATTGCTGTTTGACCAAAACTAGCAGCCTTTGAACTGTGAATAGCTCCGTGAGAGGATACAAAGTAGTAGAGGCTACTGTGAGCGTAAAAATACTGGTTACTATTGTGATATCGCTTTTTATTAAAAATGAATCTCGGTGAAGCAGATCAAGGACATGCTTCTTGAGGTAGGATCGTTATTTAGAGTTGTCATTGAAATGCAAGTTGTTGGCAGTCATCCATTCAGAATATATTCATTTAGGTCATTTCTCTTGTTTTCCTTTTTAAAAAATAGCACAATACAATTGAAGTACGCAGAGAACTATAGCCATCCGCTGCCTTGTCGTGTACCTTGGAGAAAAGGAAGAGGACCTTTTCAAGGAGTTTAGCGACGTACATTTTGAAGCATATTGCAC